GCAGGCGCTGCACTGGAGTCAGAGGGAGATTGTGGGTAGAGGGAGAAACTGTCAAAAGCGACACACAAAGAAAAAAAACAATACATCGGACTCACGAGGCAACCAGGTTGGCGCGTTTCCGCATCATGACATTCTGCCCCATCCAAAGGTAGATGAAACTGAGGATCATGTAGCCTAGACAGAAGAGTGTAATCCAACTGACACCTGTGGCCAAAACAATTGCCAGACTGAGCCAGTACGACCAGTAGAAGATACCGTGACGGAGGTAGTCCAGGTAGGACCTAAAACGACAAATGTGGCCTATATAAACATCTTCTCACTAGTAATTGTCTGTTGATCCGAGCTAGAAAGACATGCCCGAGGTCAATGATCATGAATTGGTATGTGGATGAAACAAGAGGGAATTAGGACTAGCAGAATAAGAACTAATTCTAATACTTAATTCACTTTCGATAGATTAAAGATCAATAATAAAGTAGTTCTAGTAGTTCCGTTACTTGAAGCGAACTTGGGTCGTGGTTGTAGGACATTTTGACAATGCATTTACTATAGACTGGAAGAACTAAATAAGAGTAAGAAGCTAAGACCGCCTACTTCGTCCAGCGGGATGGGGGAATAAGGAAGCCCCATAAAAGGAAGGGTAAATATTTCTTTGTGTTAACTCAAACTCAAACCTTACCAGTAACCCTAACCATACCCTGAAAGCCTACCTCAACCCTAACCCTTAACACTTACCGCAGCCCTAACGCTAATTTCCATGGAATTTAGTGCAAAGCCGTATGTATTGAGAAGAGTTTGCGTCCCGAGGTCTGTCCGGGAGGTTATGTAAGCCTTGACTAGCTATTTTTTAGTTAAGTAGACTATCGCAGCATCGAAAGCACTCTCTCTTCTTTTTGGCCAAACATTCTCCGGTGGCAAAACAGTGTCAAGACAACCGGTACTAGAAATGTGCACGGGAATCGACAAACCTAAATAGTTTGTCCATGAGTTCTAAACACAGCTTACTGTCCAATAAACGTACCAGGCTTCCGAAAAAAAGAAGACTTCATTTAAATGGCCGATCACAGAAGGTAGACAAAAGGGTGCACTACAGATATACCGGTAGAATGCCGAAACTGGGGTACTAATAGGCCATTTTTACTGTTCAGTCCAGCTGTGGAGCCGACACGCGAAGCTGGGCGGATGCAGTGTGTAACGAAAAAAAGTAGAGAATGTTACATTAAAATGGAGGGCATGTGACAACGACCGAGGCTGCAGCCATATGGCCGTGCACTAGAACGGAATTAAAAATAACCAGAACTGCACAGCTGCCAGTAACTCGGCGAACATGGGAGATGGCAACCATGGCAAAAGTCACTACTGTGCTTCATTAGCACGCCTGTAATAGAAAATTTATCTTGTCAATTTAGCGAAAAGCTGATCGTATGAGGTGCCATTAGAAGAAACAGGACTTCTAGTCAAATGAGGCAGTCCGCAATCGCTGCGACAGAATAGCGAGGATAGATCAGGCCAGTCGAAAAAGACGACTGAGATGGTTTGTACGCGTTAGCTGTCTTCGCCTCATGAGCTTTGGTATTCTGCCCTCAAATGGAGGCGTCAAAGAGGGGGTCAGTTCAAGACCTGGCTCGACAAAGTTCGTCAAGACATGGAGAGGGGTCTGGAGTGTTCCTTGGTGGAAGAGAGGATGTACTGAGCCTTCCAGATCCACTGCCTCAAATCGACACGCGCTAAAATGCACCACTCGTGACTTCATCATCATCAGGGCCGGCTACATCACACATGATCACAGCCGTATCAAGTGCAGGTAGGTACCCAGGTTCTCACCACGGCTGGTGCTTTTGAGTCAAATTCGTTCGCGGCGCGCGTGGGCGGGGAGTTGTCATTTTGGCAGCTGCTTTCCGGGGGATAAGCATCAGTCATATTGAGCCCATCGGCCTTCTGCAGCCGCTCTCTTACGCGCGCATCCCTGCTGCGTCCCATGATAAGTGTCATCAGCGTAAAAGTGGTAACATTAAAACATCAAAGAGATAAGAGGTAATGGGTGCACGGCATTTCCCAACGCCACTCCAACTTTATTGTTGCAAACTGTTCATAATGCCCGCCAGAACGTTGCCAGCAGAAACAGGCCCCAGTTAAGTTTCTCTCATAGTAACGCGCACATTCACTAAACTACATTTCCTACTAACCTCTGAAAAATTTAAGAATTAAACTATGCAGATATGAAACTATGGTATTATGAAGAAATAGTACACCATATCAAGAGAGGTAAGCATTTGTATAAAGTTAACACGGATTCCGTTTGCTGTGGCTTTATGACGTACGATAATATTAAAGAAATAAGTAAGCTGATGCTTTCGTTTTCAGGATAAACACTCAAAAGTCGGCAGAATCACCGTAGAACAAAGAAAAGCATATGGCGAACATACAGTCGAAGGTATCCTTCTTGAGGTCGATAACCGATGCAGACATTTATTCCATGCAACAATGTCTCAACCAGCGGGCGCAATTTTTAAAGTGAGCCCAGATTTTTTCTGCTCTACATCCACATGGCAATGTT